CTTCGGATTCTGTGTCTCCCTCTCTCTCTGCCTCTCCCCCACTGTTCTCTGTCTCTGTCTATCAAAAATAAATAAGTCTAAAAAAAATTTTAAAACAATGAAGGTGGGTTCTAATTAGATTAGATCTTCTCAAAGAAGTAAAAATTGATTCACAGATTCAGTATGTGATGCTCACGGGAACAGCGTGTGGCAGCCTGTCCCCGCTCCCTGTGGCTGCCGTAACAAAAGTGACAAACCACGGCAGCCTGCTGCAGGAACACCGTGGCAGTCTGCCCCCCACGGTCTCCGAAGGCCAGGAGTCCCAACTGAGGTCGCAGCAGGGCCACACCCTCTCTGGAGGCCCCCGGGGAGGCTGTCCCTGGCCTCCTCACTTCTGGGGCTGCGGGTGATTCCTGGCGCTCTCCGCCTGTGACAGCACAGGGGCTGGGGCTCTGCGTCCGTGTCCTCGTGGCCGTTCCGCTGTTTGTGTCTGTGCCCCGATTTCCCTCCTCTTCCAGGGACACCGGCCATCAGATTTAGGGCCTGTGCTACTCCACAATGACTTCATCCTAAGCCTCCGCAAAGACCAGATGTGACCCTAAACAAGGTCACATTCGCGGGTCCCAGGTGGACGTGAACTCTGGGGGGACACTATTCGACCCAGTACACAGACCCCTCCTGACTTCTCCTGCCTCAAGGGATGGCATCAGCTACTGTCCAGGAACCTTGGTTCCTTTTAGGGCAGACGGGTTTTGAGGAAAAAATCCGGAAGGTCAGCAGTGCACGGAGCGTCGAATCTGGGGGGAGGGCACGTGCCGCTGGTTTTGCAGCTGCGTTCATCTTCACAGGTCCCGGGATGAGGACGCGACGTCCTGGGGCCTTTGCTGCCTCCTGGGGGGCTCCCGAAGGGATGCACTCAACAGGGCTCTCCCCGCAGCCCGCGTTCCCGCACAAGTTTCCGATCAAGGGTGGTGGACGTATGAGACCAGGAGGGTCCTCGGCTCCGTCCCCACTCCGGTCGCCTGCCTCTAGCAAGCAGCTCTGTGGCTTCTCTGTCCTCTAGTGGCCAGGTTTCTGCCTGATGGCACCGTGCGCTCAGGGACAGGACTTACTGCCCTGGCCGCTGGACTTCCTGCCCAGATCCCCGTGTCTCTTCTCGAGAGACCCCCAGGCCAGCTGCAGCAGCCCTCAGCCCACCGTGGAATGTGTGCTCTTTCCCACGGCAGGAGCTAGCCCTCCTCACCCCCGTCTGCCCTCGGAAAGCACCGGTGTCCCTCGTGTGTCCAGCATCGGTGCCGTCTGGTGGTCCAGGCTTGTTTAGGTGGTTTCTGCGTTTCCACGAGGACGCAGTGCCACAGAGCCAGGGGCTGGGAGACCCCCCGCGGGGGTGCCCAGAGGCAGGTGCCCTGGGACCCTCGCCGCCAGACTCCATCCCAGTTTTCCAGCTCAGAAGAGACAAGTGACGTGACTATGAGGGTCTCAGGGATG